ATGGGAAAGTCATTACTACGCCTTATGGTGAAGTAGACTTACTTGTCGAAACTCAGCATGGGGCTAGGAAAGTATTTACATTTCAAATATCTACCATTGAGGATAGGCCCCTTCTCGGTAATGAGGCTTGTGAGGAGTTAGAGTTAGTGGGGAGGGTGGTACACCCGGTGCAAACTGTCAGTGAGATGTCTGAATCATCACACCTTCTGCCGTCCACTAAGGAAACTCTGATTGCAAAATATAAAACGCTCTTCACGGGTCTTGGAGAATTTGCTACCAAGGTTCATATAAGAGTAGATCCGGCTATACAGCCTGAAATGTGTCCTCCCCGACGTTACCATTTTGCTCTCATTGAGAAATTGAAAGTAAAAATAGCAAGTCTAGTAGAGAGAGGCATTGTAGCTCCCATCATAGACGAAGTTCCCACATTTGTCAGCAATCTGGTCGTAAGAGAGAAAGGGGATGGGGACCTGAGGATATGCCTTGACCCTGCGAAATTAAATAAAGCAATTGTTAGACAGAAATATATAATTCCAACTGTAGACGAGATTGCACACAAGGTCAAAGATAAAGCCATATTCACAGTCTTGGATTTAAAGGAAGGCTTTTGGCATGCGACCCTGGAAGAGGAATCAAGTTCAATGTGTGCCTTCTCCACTCCCTTTGGATTATACAAGTTTCTCAAGATGCCGTTTGGATTGAGTTGTGCTCCAGAGATTTTTCAGTTCTATAATGAACAGGTGTTCAAAGGCTCTTCAGCAAACATCTACATAGATGATTGCTTGGTGACTGGAAAGGACCTGGCTGAGCATGACAGGGAACTGTTGAAGGTACTGGAAAGAGCAAAAGAACAAAACATTAGATTCAATCCTGCTAAAATACAGTATCGTCAAACAGAAGTTCGATTCCTAGGGCAGCTCTCGTCCAAGAACAAAATACGAGTAGATCCAGAGAGGGTGCGAGCTTTGGAAGCAATTCTAGAGCCAACAAAGAAAAAGGAACTGCAAAGGTGTTTGGGTATGTTCAATTACTTAAGAACGTTTATACCACAAATGGCTCAGATTGCTGCTCCATTGTATCAGCTTCTCTCAGAATCTGTCAAGTTTCAGTGGCTCCCAATACACTCTGAGGCATTTTCACGCCTGAAGGAGAGTGTGGGAACAGCCCCTGTGCTAGTTACCTTTGATAGTACGAAAGCTTCCATAGTCCAAGCGGATGCTTCCCAATATGGACTAGGCTGCTGCCTGCTTCAAGGTAAACAGCCTGTAGCATTTCATTCCCGAGTGTTAACTGAAACAGAAAAGCAATATGCACAAATTGAGAAAGAAATGCTAGCCCTTCATTTTGCTGCCCTCAAGTTTGAAAAGTACATTTATGGTCTCACAAATGTTACCTTTCAAACGGATCATCAACCACTAGTCTCGATTTTCAAAAAGCCTTTGGCTACCATCACTAACAATCGCCTGAAAAAACTTCGGCTCAAAATGCTCAAATTTCAACCTCAGGTGGAGTACTTACCAGGCAAATATTTGTATCTGGCGGATCTGCTGTCACGACAATGTCTGTTAGATCCGGTCATGGATGATCCTGAAATGGTGGAAGTAGTCCACGAGGTGGTACAGTACAGGTATCCATGGTACCTGAGAAGAAAACAGAGTATGTAAATGAGACGAGTAAGGATGAGGGTCGCCGGGCTGTACAACAATACTATCAGCACGGTTGGCCCTCAGACAGGAACCGAATGGTTGAAGGAGCTAAGCCTTACTGGGCTTTGAGAAATGATCTCTTTCCTGAGGATGGGTTAGTGATCCTGGGGGACCGAATAGTGGTGCCAGTTGCCCTACGCAACAAGGCCCTAGGAAAAATTCATAAAGCCCATTTAGGGATAGAAAAGGCAAAGGCGAAAGCCAGGCAGTCACTGTACTGGCCAGCAATAACTAATGACATAGTCACAATGATTCAGGCATGTCGCATCTGTGAGCGACACCGACCACTTAATAGGAAAGAACCTCTGATACCTCATGAGGTACCCAAGTATCCCTTTCAGAAAGTGAGTATAGATATAATGGAACTAGGAATGACTAATTACCTGATCTTGGAAGATAACCTCTCCAAATGGCTAGACATAAAAAAACTAAACAGCAAATCAAGCTCCTCAGTGATCAGTGCGCTTCGGCAGACATTTGCCATCCATGGAATCCCAGAGGTTATTTACGGGGACAACAATCCTTTGAATTCACAGGAATGTCATGCCTATGCCCGTGACATTGGGAGTCAGATAATCACCAGTTCCCCGGAGTATCCAAGGAGTGATGGCCTGGCAGAAAAAGGGGTACATATAGCAAAACAACTATTAAAGAAATGTTTTGATGCTAAAGTCAATTACCTGGATGCTCTCTTGGAGTATAATAATACTCCCTTGTCTGGTATGAATGTATGTCCTTCTCAAATACTCATGAGTCGAACATGTCGCACAGCAGTCCCGATGTTGCAAAGAAACCTGGAACCAAAAGTGGTTAATGTACATGCTGAATTGAAACGAAAACAAGGGCAAACTAAGCGTCAACATGACTTACATGCCAAGGTTCGCTCACAGGTCTATCAGCCTGGCTCACCAGTTGCTATTCGAAGGGGGAAAAAGTGGGAGAAAGGGACGGTGGTGCGGAAGCACTCTGCTCCTCGTAGTTACATAGTTCGAACTTTGGATGGACGAATTCTTCGTCGTAATACATTTCACCTCCAACCTTCCAAAACTAGGCCTGACAGTCATGATACACCTATGGATGTAGAAGGATGCATGGAAAGTGTACTGAATACAAATCCTGTCATGACTGAAACTCATACTGAAACTTTTGTGCCCACAGAACCCAACGAAGGTGAGGCCCTTGACCACGACGAAGATGGACTTGGACAAGACCAACCTGGTCTTGACCCCCAACTCGCTACGTCACATCAGAATCCCTCTCAGTCGGCTCTCACTGGAAGAACCACTCGAGCTGGGCGACGTGTGAAACCTCCAATGAAGTATGGATATGATGAATAGTAAGGAGCTTCGAATTAATCCAGCTCCAGAATCATTTTGATTCTATTAAATCAAACTTACATGGACTAGAAGTTCAAAACAAATTGTTTACTTTGGGTATCGTTATGAAAAATAAATATGTTCATCAACCTACTTTGTTCTCATACCTTATTGCCAGACCCCAATATGAATGAGAACCAAACAACTGCACCGCAAGGGGCAGTGGAGGGGGGAGATGTTGTGAACAGTCAGGGTTGGTACACCTGAGGGGAAGTCTGACCCTGACTGACCACCAATCATGGCCGCACTGGAGCGAGCCCAGCATTTACTTCGTCACGTGATATATTGCCAATAAACAGTTAGTCTCAAACATCCGGTACTTGTTGTGTGTTACTTCCCGGATCCTTGACCTAGCCAACATCATATCTGAGAACATCCTGTTCAGAACAATGCATGAGTCCACTCCCTCATCCAGAATGTATTTGCAGACAGAATTCACCTAAAAAAAATGACATGACACTAAATGATATGGAGGACACTATTTCCTCATATATTATCTTATGATTAAATAGGAAAGAGAGATTAGTTTATTAATGGTGGGTGAGCACGTAGAAATGGTACACTATGAGATGCTTGGCTCATCTGTTGCAGGGCATATAGAAACCATTTTTGAAGTGTCTAATGGTGACCACCAACAGACATCAGGAAATTTTCCTGTAACCCCTCACAGCAGTGCAGAAAATAAGACAGAACACATCAGGATTTCTGCCGTATTGCTATTAGAGAGAAAAGGCAAACTCAGACAGCTAATATGATTAAAATATTCCTTGAGAGAAAATGCAAATGTTCAGTGAACCCATGCAACACAAAAATGTAAATGAATTGTACTATATACTCCAACCATGACCACAGAAAAAAAACAATCAGTGACAGTAAAATAAACACCTCTGTTTGCCTTGGTTATTGGAAGGTCGAGGAAAGCCAAATCACTCACTGACAGTTGCAAGCTTTCTTCACATTCCATCAGACCACTCATATTTTTAATTGCACCATTTTGAGTTTGTCTGGTTCTTTTGAACAATCCTCCTTTTCTCTTCTTGTTTGACAATTTGGACTTTCTCTCCAATAGCTGTACAGCAGCAATCCTGAGGAATTCTGTCTTCACTTCAAGAACATGGTCAGAGCACAGCCAACTCCAATCAGTATGTTCACATAAATGCCTTTCAACACTGTCCACTGCTTTGCTCAATACAAGTGATTCCCAGTGCTGGTCAAAGGACTGGAATCCACAACTAAGTGTGTTTAGGAGCTCAGCAGATGGATAGTGAGTGATGTACTGTTTCATGGTGTAGTGTTCTGCGCTCATAGTGAACCAAAATCTTTCTGGTCTCTTGTCAGCAACCAGGGCTCTGTGACAAGAAGAGCAAGAAAGATTTTTCACACAATTATTTAAAGTTGTAGCACAAATAAATGCAAAGGCCTGTTTGTGCATGGCATGCAGATTTTCTGCTCCATCTGGCACCACAGAACGACCTCTAAGCAATGAGGAGTTGGGTCCTCAGCTGTACAATTGGCAGAAAGCAAGCACCGCATGTCATTCAAAATGAAGGAGCCATCATCTTGGCAGTTTTTGTCTCGGACAGAGCCAACAAATCTTGTTAAGAGACAAGTCTTCAGAGCACCAATAAACTGTCGGGTTGTCAGGTCAGAGCCTGAACCACAACACTGACGAATGCAGCAAAATAAATCTTCCAGTGCATCTTGATTGATCTGCCTTAATTTCAGGACTCCAACTTTTGCTGCATTCAGTTGTCTCCACATCCACTGCATTACTTTGATGGACTGGATCCAACCTTTAATGCATGGTGGTTGATGCCTTACTCCATTACTTTTTCTGATGAACGAAAACTTTTCCAGACCCTTGATCATCTCTGGCCATTCTGTGTGGTGGAGAGAATTGGCAGTCACATTACACCGTGTTGGCTTTACTTTAGTTTCTTTAGTAGAGGGCCCATTAGTTAAGTCAAACTAAAAATCAGCTTCCCTGCAAAGTTCTGCAGTGACAGTGCATTGTGTCAGCTTCTCACCATTAGACACTTCAAAAATGGTTTCTATATGGCCAGCAACAGATGAACTCAAGGTCTCAGCAGCTGTTTTCACTCTCATTTTTTGTTTACTCTGAGGGTTCACATGTTTGTATGTGAGAGGGCTCATCTGATACAATGACTGGTCCAATCTATAATATTCAATGATGTGGCACCAGTCTGCAACTTTCCCACATTCAAACTCAAGGAAACCGCTGAGTAGATTATTTTTTAAAATGTGAGGCACATCAAAAATGTGGACCATCCTCTTCCCATCAATTTCATAAAATATGTCATCTCCAGTTGACAATTTGAGTTCTGCTACAGCACCCTGATTGGTTGGACCCTGATCAGAGGCTATAGCAAGAACATTTAAGCTACATTTACGGACAGCAAGGACCACATATTGAATTAGTAATTTCAAGATGTCTGATGGACAAGTTTTGTGGACAAAGTAGAAGGCAATAGGCTGAGTCCATTTTGAACGCAACCCCTGGACCATAAAAACAAGGGCATGATCAGCCACAAGATGGGTTCGACCCTTATGACCATAATCCTCAAACCCACTCATCTCACCGATTGACTTATTCAAACATATATTGGGAACTAGGTAGACTTCATCAAAGAGGATGCAGCAATGGCGGTCTTTAGGGTGGAGTTTGCTTGTAGATTTTTTCAGCAGTGCTAGCATAGGTTTGGAAATGCCAACTTCAAGTGGAATATCCTTCAATAATTTTTTTAAAGTACTTTCACACGGAAGAACTAGCTGCTGCTGAACAAATCTGTACACTCTAGGACTCCTCTTATATATTCCAAGTGCAAACATCTTATCTTCAACATCCCACGTTCTACCTCTTGCTTTCCTTTTAAAATTTCGCAGCTCACTTTTCAGAATACGTTTTGAAGTTTTAGATATTAATAAATCGTCCACCATGTCTACAAAACTTCCTTTTGAAAGTTTTCCTATGTTACCAGATCTTCTTTGAGCTTGAGCTAACCGGGCCTTTACTGTTTGAGCATCCTTATAATATTGTTGGGCTGTTTTTGCAACAGTTTTTACAGGTGAGGGAGCATCCTTAAATGAGTCTACCTGGGCTATACTTTTCAAGGTGACCCTTTTCCTAGTTGGTGGAGGTGTGCGCTCCCTAGCACCTGTCCTTTCTGCTGATCCTAGATAGATAGATAGATAGACAGATAGATAGATAGATAGATAGATAGATAGATAGATAGATAGATAGATAGATAGATAGATAGATAGATAGACAGATAGATAATAAAAATTAATATTACCCTCGGAACAAATTTGTTCAGTGTACTGTATTGTTACAGAAAACTATCGATATACCTACTGCGAGGCTCTGCAGCAAGTTGTGTTTCAAATTCCTCCCTGGGTATTTTTTGATCAGTCGGAGACAATGGGATGTCTTCTACCAGATCAACATGCAATCTTTTCCGTGTCAAAATAAACATTGGAATAGCTCAGTACCAAAAGTCAGAAAGCTGCTTTTCAGAGAATTGTGTGAAATATCACAAATACAGACCTGGTCGCAAAATTCCTTCATCAGTTAAAATTTCATTAATTACTGTATCAGTCACGTTAGAAGTGAGATTGTCATTATTAATGACGGGTAAAAGAATTTCTGTACCAGTACTTTTAGTGACTGTAACAAAAGTATAACTTTAGATATTGTGGAAAAGCTGACAGTATTATATACCATGAACCGTACAAACAAGCTCCAAGGTACCGACTAAACTTCTCCTTGTATTCTGCCATAGCTTCATCTGTCAAGGGTTGCACCGTAAATATTGATGGCTTGGCAGAGCGGTGAAGGAGGACTCGACAAAGGTTGGTGAACATTTTCTGTTCGAAGTGATTCCCACAGAGATATTTGTTTTTCTGTAGGTGTACAGGGTCCATCTCAAGCAGCTTACTATTGCCACAAGGTTGGACCCAATCCAAAAGCCTGAGACAATATGAAGGCACAGTTCACGAATAATGAAAATTGATGTTGAGGTTCATTAAGGTTAACTCTATTTACCGGTCGATTTGTGCAGGGAATTTGAACATAGGCGCTATCCACGCCAAAAAGACGTAAAAATTTCGGCCTGCGTTTTATTCGCGAAATATGTAGCCCTTGAGTAGCTGCACCAGGTGTTGCAATCCGTTTTGAGATACCTCAAACGGTGTCGCGTCAGGAGCGTTGAGAACAAGGCCCTCCGCCCCATGGGGCGAAGAAGTGTCCGTTACCTCTGAGGGTAAAGTCACAGCATAAATACGGGAGCGCTTCACAGGCGCCCCCTACTGAACGGATGCGAACGGCGCCGTACCTAACTAAGGAGAGGTAGCGGGGACCGGCGCGCGCTGGAGTTAGACCAATTATTTGGGGCACTTGGTTGACTTTTCGCTCAAAAACAAATGCGTAGCCAGCTACAGCATTGTGTTACAGATCATACCGCACAAAAATACATGTCAGTTTCTTGTGCAAATTTTAGTTAAATACTAATAATTGCTCTTGGAGGAGACGCGCTGACCACAACGCCATCTGGCAGCAGTTCTTTAAAGAACAGTAGCTGTTTCGTCGCATGAAAGTCCAAAGTCACAACGGGCTTATAGGTGTGGAGGTTCGTTGTGCTGTAGTAAACCTGATGGAGGACTTGTGCAGGTCCTGTTTCATTTGGTTTTACTTCGCAAAATTACAAACTGCAATCGGAAAATTACAATCAAATCTCACATTTCCGATAGAGTGATCACAATTTTACAATCGCAAATTGTAAAATTACAAATGTTTCCTAATTTTCAGAAGACAGATTTGAATTTTCACAAAACTGTTATGAATTTTAATAACTAATTGCAAAATTGACAATGTTATGAAATTTCCCAAACACGTTTGCAATTTTACAACTGATTTTGATTTGAAATTTCACAACTTTTTTAAC